TATACCTAAAATGTAGTCATGTAAATTGAATCGTCCACTCCACTGGACTAGAGTTAGTTTGAAAAAAAGAAAAGAAAAGAAAAGAGGAGGGGCTGCGGCTGGGGTGTGTTAATAACACTCAACTCTTCTACGATTTGAGAAAAATAAAATTAATTTAACACTTTTGACATAATTAGATTTACATTTATTTTAGTATAATTAAAATGGCCGAAATTAATTTATTTGGTGCATAGATATTAAAATAAATAAATAAATATTTTAATCAAATATAAATATAAATTTATTTTTATTTATATAACTAACAAATTATTAATAAAAAAAATACTTAATTGTTATGTGAAATAAAATCTCAAGAAAAATCAATATAATTATATTAAAAGTGCGGGCTAACTATATTTTCTTTTAAGGAAAATACTACCACAAAACATCAGCCATAAAAATGTATAATCTCGCCACAAATTGAAATAACAAAAATGTCTAAAATTTTGTGATTGATGTTACAAAAGTTTGTGACTTTGTTAAGAGAAATTATTCAATATTTCTGGAGTAAGTTGCTCCAAATAAGTGGTCTAGATCATAGAATCCACCACTTTTGTGTTAAAATTTAAGGAGACAAAATATTAAGGCCTAATTTGGGAAATAGACCCAAAAAAACAAACTTTTTGGGCTTTTTTTGATTTTTTTGAAAAAATATGCAAAAAAAAATAAAAAGGTGATATAATTCAAATAAGTCAAAAAGTTAATAAGTTGATTTTTTTTGTTAATTGCCAAAATAAGCCTAAATGTCAATCTATAAATGAGATAAAGAGTATTAAATAATTTATTTTTAGTTACAACATTTTTATTATGCTAATTTATAACTAATATTATAAAATTTTGTGATAAAATTATCCGTTTATGTGGTAGATTGTATATACCAGTATGGATCGTATTCAACATCATTCAACACAACTCAACATCATCAATATTATTCAACATCATCAACACTATTCAATACAAGCCAACACAACTTAATTCAACAACACTATTTGTTAGGCAATCTTCACTGTATTTAAAAGATTTAATTTTGATTTAATTTGTTCGAATTATTTTCTGATCAAGTCCAGTGTTTGACACTGTGTCCTTAAGACAGATTCGTCCTCTCCACGGTGCTTTCAGAATTTGGACAAACAATAGCAGCACTACAAATTGTTTGCCTTACGAACACATTAAGTGTTTACACTTTTTATTTCAGAAATAAAATGCAGTAAGATGAAGAATATAATTAGCAGAGGTGAAATACGAAATTTCTGAATTATAACATCAAATGAGGGTGGTCCTATTTATAGATGTAAAAGTGGCTCTTGGTTTTAAATTGAACAGGTATGATACTTGTTGATTTTGAATTCAAACAGATTTGAATCTGTTAATAATTCAAACAGATAGCAAAAACGGGAAGGGCCTGTTTGGGTGTGCATTAATTTCAAACTAGTTTATTTCTGTTTGAAAACGGGAAGGGCCCTGTTTGGATGTGCAGAAAATCCAAATCAGTTTAATTTGAATTCTGGATTTTATTTTACCAAAAGATAAAATTAAATTCAAATGTTTTTGGTCCAAAAAGATTAGAACCCCAACCTGACCGGACGGCGCGTGCGTGTGGTGATTTTTGGGTCCAATGGGTCTAGCCCATTTTGCCCATAACCTCTCCCTCTAAAATACTTGGGTACCCCTTGGGGCATATCCCAAGTATCTAACCCAAGCCTTATAAACCCTTTCAAAACTTCCCACCAAATCAATATGGGACAAGCCAATTTACAACCTTAAGGAATTTTCACCAAAACTCCATTTCCATGGAGCACACTTTGGCTTCAATTTCCCATTCACTCGGTAATGGTTTTGAGCAACCAAATATACCACGTGAATCACAACGCGGCATAGAACGCGTTACCACTTTGACCCGAGTAAGTCGACACTCCGGGCCCACCTAAAAAAATAGACCAAACTTAAAAAAAATTTCTAATTTTACCCAAAATTTTTTTACCGTTTCCAACACTATTTACTAGTATGGATTGTAAAAGGGTGTACAAAAAAAAGTAAGGGCAATTAAAAATAAAAAAAGAAAAAAATTTGCAAGTGACGTGATGAGTGCAGTAAGAAGAAAACACTGGATGGAATGGAACCGGAGCTATAAAGACGGTTAGTAGAGCTTTTTAAAATTAAATTCACTCTTTCATTTTAATGTTGCGGATGGTTTGAGCTTTTAAATCATGATTTTAAATTAATTTTAAAATATATTTTAAAAATATATTTGGTAAAATAAATAATTTTTAAATTTTTAGTTTATTTGGTCGTCCGCCCTCCGGCCGATCATCCATCCGGTTGATCAGAACAATATCTTTTTTTTTTCCGAGCACAAGTTATGTAGACAAACTTTCTCTGCTTTTAATTCGTTGGGCTATCTATTTCAACTGATGTAAGAGCATCTCTTATTTAATTTTTTTTTTTTTTTTTTTTTTTTTTTTTTTTTTGTAATTGCCAATCGCCACTTGTTATTTGAGAAAAAAAATTATATTTATTTTTGATATTTTTTAAATATAAAAATTATTTTTTACACCAAAATGACAAATTATTTTTTTTAATTGAATTTTGAAAAGAGTTGGTTATGAGTTTTGAATAGAAACTTCAATAGAGTTTTGAGTTGTATATTTGGTTATGAGTTATAAGTTTTTCAATTAATTTTTAAAAATTATTTTTAAAATTCATAACCAAACAACTTTTCTCATTTCATATGTCATATCAAAAATTCAAAACTCAATTCAAAACTCATAACTAAACAAATTTTCTCTTTTCAAATCATAATTCCAAAATTCACAAATTTAAACTGCAATTCTATTATCAAATCCTAATTCTAAAATTCTATCCAAAACTACCAAAATTTCTCAAATAATTCACTATTTTCTGGTAAGTCCCTCTCTCCTCTTATCAGAGATTTCTCAACCAACCGCATTAACTTGGTTATCGTTTTCTTCATAAACGCCTTGTATTCATTTTCTACGCATAATATCAAACCCTCTCTGATTCTGAACACCTCCAAATCACAAAAAATCTCCAATCGAAACTCTTTCAACCACTCGTAAGTAACTTCTTTCCCTCTACTTGTGAGCTTTTCTCGGAAAATCATCTACTCTACTTACTGATTTTAATTTCCTGTTTGATTTGTGCTTTGATTGCTTGGAAAATGGAACGGAAAATCCTTAAACCTTTCAATTAATTTCCCATAAAAAAAACTGACGGAAGATCCAAACAATTCAAAATTTTGGTTTTTCAGCAACGAGACAGAGCGTAATTCGATATCGAGCTATCTCTTTCTTGACATTCTTTATTGTGTAAATTGTCAGTTGATAGATGGGAGTGGGACAAAACAGTTCTGACACAGATCATGAGGACCTGTCGATTGGCATGGGTAAGTGATATTCTTTGTCATCCCAACCCAAGCATTCAACAAATAAAATTTTTTATCTCCATTTTCTTTGCTCCTCTTTTATCTAGTGTTCAATTTCTTAACTATATTTTCTTTTAAGGAAAACACTACCACAAAACATCAGCCATAAAATTGTATAATCTCGCCACAAATTGAAATAACAAAAATGTCTAAAATTTTGTGGTTGATGTTGCAAAAGTTTGTGACTTTGTTAAGAGAAATTATTCAATATTTATGGAGTAAGTTGCTCCAAATAAGTGGTCTCGATCATGGAATCCACCACTTTTGTGTTAAAATTTAAGGAGACAAAATATTAAGGCCTAATTTGGGAAATAGACCCAAGAAAACAAACTTTTTGGGCTTTTTTTGATTTTTTTGAAAAAATATACAAAAAAATAAAAATAAAAAGGTGATATAATTTAAATAAGTCAAAAAGTTAATAAGTTGATTTTTTTTTGTTAATTGCCAAAATAAGCCTAAATGTCAATCTATAAATGAATTAAAGAGTATTAAATAATTTATTTTTAGTTACAACATTTATAAATAATATAATAAAAGTTTGTGATAAAATTATCTGTTTATGTGGTAGATTATATATACCAGTATGGATCGTATTCAACATCATTCAACGTAACTCAATATCATCAATACTATTCAACATCATCAACACTATTTAATACAAGCCATTCAATACAAACTAACATAACTTAATTCAATAACACTATTTACCGGTATGAATTGTAAAAGGGTGTACAAAAAAAAGTAAGGGCAATTAAAAATAAAAAAAGAAAAAAATTTGCAAGTGACGTGATGAGTGCAGTAAGAAGAAAACACCGGATGGAATGGAACCGGAGCTATAAAGACGGTATTTAGTAGAGCTTTTTAAAATTAAATTCACTCCTACATTTTAATGTTATGGTTGGTTTGAGCTTTTAAATCATGATTTCAAATCAATTTTAAAATATATTTTAAGAACATGTTTGGTAAAACAAATAATTTTTGAATTTTTAATTTATTTGGTTGTCCGCCCTCCGGCCGATCATTCACCCTGTTGATTAGAACAATATCTTTTTTTTTTTTTTTTTTTGTAATTGCCAATCGCCACTTGTTATTTGAGAAAAAAAATTATATTTATTTTTGATATTTTTTAAATATAAAAATTATTTTTTACACCAAAATGACAAATTATTTTTTTTAATTGAATTTTGAAAAGAGTTAGTTATGAGTTTTGAATAGAAATTTCAATAGAGTTTTGAATTGTATATTTGGTTATGAATTACAAGTTTTTTAATTAATTTTTTAAAATTATTTTCAAAATTCATAACCAAACAACTTTTCTCATTTCATATATCATATCAAAAATTTAAAATTTAATTTAAAACTCATAACTAAATAAATTTTTTCTTTTTAAATCATAATTCCAAAATTCATAAATTCAAACTGCAACTCTATTATCAAATAGTAATTCTAAAATTCTATCCAAAACTACCAAAATTTCTCAAATAATTCACTATTTTCTGGCAAGTCCCTCTCTCCTCTTATCAGAGATTTCTCAACCAACCGCATTAACTTGGTTATCGTTTTCTTCATAAACGCCTTGTATTCATTTTCTACGCATAATATCAAACCCTCTCTGATTCTGAACACCTCCAAATCACAAAAAATCTCCAATCGAAACTCTTTCAACCACTCGTAAGTAACTTCTTTCCCTCTACTTGTGAGCTTTTCTCGGAAAATCATCTACTCTACTTACTGATTTTAATTTCCTGTTTGATTTGTGCTTTGATTGCTTGGAAAATGGAACGGAAAATCCTTAAACCTTTCAATTAATTTCCCATAAAAAAAACTGACGGAAGATCCAAACAATTCAAAATTTTGGTTTTTCAGCAACGAGACAGAGCGTAATTCGATATCGAGCTATCTCTTTCTTGACATTCTTTATTGTGTAAATTGTCAGTTGATAGATGGGAGTGGGACAAAACAGTTCTGACACAGATCATGAGGACCTGTCGATTGGCATGGGTAAGTGATATTCTTTGTCATCCCAACCCAAGCATTCAACAAATAAAATTTTTTATCTCCATTTTCTTTGCTCCTCTTTTATCTAGTGTTCAATTTCTTGATGATATTTCTTTGCCACCACAACTGTTAGATGAGAATTAGATGAGTAGCATACTTACGCTGTGTTTGGTGGGGATTTGAAAAAGGATGAGAAAAAGTCTGTGAAATTAGAAAAAATGTATATATATTTTATTTATATTTCACTTACGTTTTTTCTTTTTCGTTTTAAATCCCTCTTTAAATCACCTAATCAAACACAACATTAGAGAATCTGCCCCCGATACCTATACCGGGGTTTGTAACACTAATATAGAGTCCCACAAAGGCCTTCCTTAACCTCAAATGGACTATCACTTAGTAAATAAAAAAAACAAAAAAAACAAAACAAAGGTCTTTGGGGGTGTCTAGGGTGAAGAAGAGCTCACTTCCCTGTGTCTATCACAAAGAAGATTTCTTGATATATTTGCTTCAGAATCAGGGGGGATGAGAAAAAGTCTGTGAAATTAAAAAAAAATGTACATATATTTTATTCATATTTTTCTTTTTCTTTTTAAATCCCTCTTTAAATCACCTAATCAAACACAACATTAGAGAATCTGCCCCCCATACCTATACCGGGGTTTGTAACACTAATATAGAGTCCCACAAAGGCCTTCCTTAACCTCAAATGGACTATCACTTAGTAAATAAAAAAAACAAAAAAAACAAAACAAAGGTCTTTGGGGGTGTCTAGGGTGAAGAAGAGCTCACTTCCCTGTGTCTATCACAAAGAAGATTTCTTGATATATTTGCTTCAGAATCAGGGGTTATCCCCAAATTACATGAAATGCAAATAAGCTGATACTTTTGTAAAGTATTGTTTTGGCAAAAAAGCTAGGATCCCAGAATTAGGAACCCATAATTTACCCTGAGTACGTGTGGTGGAGATTAAATTAATAAAGTGTGGGGTCCATAAGTAAAATGAATTTGAACATTGATTCTTATTTCTGGATAAATTCTGGGTTTGTAGTCTTGCTGTTGTTTTGGGGGTGGTTTACTATTCTGTCATTTATTCTTATCGTTAGTCAAGAATTGATCCATGGCCTTGTGACTTTGACTTCAAATGTAATCTGCTTGGCTTGGACGGTCAGGGGTTGTTTGGAATGTTCTAAATAAGTGTACTTTTTAGACTAAAAAGTAGAGGAAAAAAAGATGGTGGTTTGGGATAACTTTTTGACTTTTTACGAAAAAATGTATATTAAAATATTGTATAAAATTGTAAAATTACGAAATTACCCTCGCTGACACAAGCAGCAATACTGCGCTGCACAGTTTCTGTCTCTTTTCAAATTATTTATTTATTTATTTTATTTTATTTTATTTTTATGGGAATGTGTGGCTACAAGTGTGCCACGTTTTCAATTGACTTGGGATGTGTGGCTGCACAGTTTTGTGCAGCACTGTTTTGCTTTTTTTGTTTTTGTTTTTGTTTTTGTTTTTTTTTTTTTCAATTGACAGATTTCCTGCCAAAAAAGAGGTAAATAGTATGAACTTTTTTACTTTTTTTTATTGACTTTTTGACTTTTTGAATTTTTTTGATAATGCCAAACCAGCCCTCAATCTCAATGATGGGCATTGAGCAGTGATCAAGTTCTTGTCATATGCTTTTGTTTTATATCAGAGTTCTCCCCTCTCTCCAAAAACCAGGTTGATCGTTAGTTTGCTTATGCAGTTTTGTCAATTTGTATTATCATTAATATATTGTTTTTAATTTTTTTCCCTATCCATTTGAATAGATGTTGTAAATTGTATAGTATGCTATATCTTGTCCTAGCCAGTGGCTACACGTGTGCCACGTTTTCAATTGACTTGGGATATGTGACTGCACAGTTTTGTGCAGCACTGTTTTGCTTTTTTTGTTTTTGTTTTTGTTTTTGTTTTTGTTTTTTTTTTCAATTGACAGATTTTCCGCCAAAAAAGAGGTAAATAGTATGAACTTTTTTACTTTTTTTTATTGACTTTTTGACTTTTTGAATTTTTTTGATAATGCCAAACCAGCCCTCAATCTCAATGATGGGCATTGAGCAGTGATCAAGTTCTTGTCATATGCTTTTGTTTTATATCAGAGTTCTCCCCTCTCTCCAAAAACCAGGTTGATCGTTAGTTTGCTTATGCAGTTTTGTCAATTTGTATTATCATTAATATATTGTTTTTAATTTTTTTCCCTATCCATTTGAATAGATGTTGTAAATTGTATGGTATGCTATATCTTGTCCTAGCCAGTAGCATCTTTCTAAATGGCATGCCTTGAGTTCAATCTACAACGGGTTACTATCAATTCTTGTAAGGAAACTGAAACAGAGTTAAATCAGTTGATAGATTAAAAAGTTGAAATATCGATGATGGAGTATATTGATTTATCATTCTACTCGGGAGTTAATTTTATTTTTTTGGTTTCCATTATTATTGATAAAAGTTGAGTGTATGAAGCATATGAAGGGGAAAGAATTATTCACTATCTTCTCTTACATGTTCTGTCTAACTTTTGTTTAGTAATTTATTGTTTGGTCATGCATGGTAAGAATAATATTGATACGGAGCTTTGCAAATGGCAGAATACAGAACAGTCTCTGGCGTTGCGGGGCCACTTGTTATTCTTGACAAAGTGAAGGTGTGTTTGTGCACGTAATAATTGTCGCCCTCTTTCCTTTTTCACCATCACATGATATTATTGCTCGAAGTACAGTTTTTTTTTCATAAGATGGTACTTTTTGTTGAAATGTTCAGGGTCCTAAATATCAGGAGATTGTCAATATTCGCCTGGGAGATGGAACAATCCGACGTGGTCAAGTCTTGGAAGTTGATGGGGAGAAAGCTGTTGTGCAGGTTATAGTTCATACAACTGAAGAGTGTTTTTTTTAATTTTATTTTTTATGGTTTAACTAATACAATCCAGTGAATCATTTTTCTTAATTGTACTCCATGTTGTTACTCCTTTCTCTTCTCCCCAGGTTTTTGAAGGAACATCTGGAATTGACAACAAATACACAACCGTGCAATTTACAGGGGAGGTATAGATATATTTTCTTCCAATTTATATATATATTTTTCGAAATTCAACTTTTGGTCTTTTGACCTTTTGCTAAACTGAGTAGATGGATATTCAATATTTTGGATGGTCACTCCTAACGAGTGTTTAAAAATGTTAAAATTATGAATTTTTTTTTTTGAATGAGTGTGTTAGCCGTTAGGTTCATTGTCAAAGGCAATAATTGTTGCTGTTATCATTTGTTATTTTTTTTTTTTTGGCCGGTTTTTCTTTGATACAGTAAAGCATGGACAGTCGTTCTTAGCTCCCCTTGCCCCTTTCAAACACACACAGAGACGCACCCCAAGCATATAAATTCACACTGTTCAGAATTTGTAACCTCAAGGAAGAACAAAAGGCAGATTCCTCCAACGGTTTCAGCTTTAGAACGGATAAGTGCTGAACATCTTTGTGGCAAGGACTTTTATTAAATTCATTTGGCACTTCCTAAACATATTGTTCTTCTGGTTCAGGATGGGCTGGATTTTCTAATAGAATAATTATCTAATATTTTCTTATGAAGAAAGAAGCAGCGTGGTCTTCTTAAAAAAAAAGAAAAAAAAAAAAATCAAGTTTTAGTTTTATATTATTTGTGATGTCCACATATTGTGAAAGCTAGGCCTTTGCTTATGAGCAGTTGCATAAAGAGAACTTCTGTGTTTGTTATTCCACCTACTTAGTCCCTTCAAAAAGTTGTTGCGCAGGTTTTGAAAACTCCTGTTTCAATGGATATGCTTGGACGCATATTTAATGGTTCTGGAAAGCCCATTGATAATGGACCTCCAATCTTACCAGAGGCTTACCTAGATATATCTGGTGAGTCATGTTAGAGAGAGAATGATTTTTCAATTAAGGGGTAGCTCATGCCTGACATTGATGTTTTTTCTGTTTAGGAAGCTCCATTAACCCTAGTGAGAGAACCTATCCTGAAGAGATGATACAAACGGGGATTTCTACAATTGACGTGATGAACTCCATTGCTCGTGGACAGAAGATCCCTCTTTTCTCTGCTGCTGGTCTCCCTCATAATGAAATAGCTGCTCAGATCTGCCGTCAGGCTGGTCTTGTAAAACGGTTGGAAAAGTCTGATAATCTCCTTGAGGTATTGTGCACATACCAATGCTATACAAATGAATCCAAACATAATTGATAAGTATAACATAATTGATTTTGAACTTTGTTGTACTCTTATGGAATTTTATGCAGTCTATAATGTTAGAGAGTTAAGTGTTCTTTTTAAAAGAAAGTTTTCTGTCATGGATCAAGAGAAACTTATATTTTGAACATTCAGTTCGCATATTGCTCATTTGCTGTTTTTATTCACCTTGTCTTGATTGATCATCCTGAAGTTGTCTAAGAACTCCATTTGTGATGTTGTCTTTTGTTTCTCAAAGTTCAAGATGATAGTTTTCAGTTCACTTCTCCAGTTATATTTCTTTTATTTCTTTTTTCTTTTTTGTCATTCTGTTCTTCTTTTATCTGCTTTGAACAGTCACATGTGATTCTCCAATACTGTGCCATGTCTTAATAGGATGGCGGAGAGGACAATTTTGCCATTGTGTTTGCTGCTATGGGTGTAAATATGGAGACAGCCCAATTTTTTAAGCGTGATTTTGAGGAGAATGGATCAATGGAGAGAGTGACCCTTTTCCTAAATCTGGTATCTTTCCGTACATTTATATTAGAATCTTCTTCTGGTGTATTATGTTTTTCGTGGTCCACTTTTAAATTATTTATTTATTTATTTCACTAAAAGGTTTTCTTTTTCCCAAATATTAAAAGATGATCACATTTGTTAACATTTTTAAGTGTTTTTTTTTTTTTTTTTTTGCTCAGGCCAATGACCCCACTATTGAGCGCATTATTACTCCCCGAATTGCTCTCACAACTGCAGAATACTTGGCCTATGAATGTGGGAAGCATGTTCTTGTCATACTAACAGATATGAGTTCTTATGCTGATGCTCTTCGCGAGGTAATAGGTTATCTCCCTGTAAAAAATAAATTGATGTATATTATTGATTGATGTATTGATATTTGATTCTGTTACAATTGATTGATTATATAGATGTAGGTTAGGTGGTGGTAGGTGAGGAGTAGGTGAGTGTAGTAGGTGAGTGTGTGGTAGGTGATGGTAAGTGTGTGGTAGGTGATGGTAAATTCTAACACTCCCTATGGAGTTGGAAGGGTATTACCACAAGTATACTTTAATCATTGATACCAATATAGGGAGCATAAGATTGAAAGATTATGTTGTGTTTCGTGATTAATATTTAGTACTACTATGAGATGTTCAAAGTTCTACACTGACATGGTGACCACATGTAGAACTTGTTATAGGACTCAGTTTTCATGGAATTCAAAACTGACAATCTATGATTCTTAATACTACTTGTGACGGCAGGTATCTGCTGCCAGAGAGGAAGTTCCTGGAAGGCGTGGGTATCCTGGATACATGTATACTGATTTGGCAACAATATATGAGCGCGCTGGACGTATTGAAGGAAGGAAGGGCTCCATCACTCAGATTCCTATATTAACTATGCCTAATGATGGTATCACCAACCTTTTTCAATAGTCTAGATATGACTGTTGACGTCATGTTTCCCTTTATGGTTTATATTGAGCAGTGGACCTGATATTAGTTTTGGTTGATAAACCAGATATCACACATCCAACTCCAGATCTTACAGGCTATATTACTGAGGGGCAGATATACATTGATAGGCAGCTCCACAATCGGCAGGTGAATTGAAGGCATATTATGATGCACTTGGGGTTGCATTTATTTCTAAGCAAAAATGATCACCATCTTCCAATAATGTATAATCTTAGCATCAGTTTATATTTTGTTACAAAATAGCATTTCAAGAGCCTGTAGTTGTTTAAAACTTCTTTTTTAAATGTACTTTTCCTATGTTGGTTTGGATCATTCTTCAATGTTGCATTTCATTAAGATGGAACTCTGAATCCTTAGAAAAAGACACTGTAGATCTAGGGGATGGTGTTCTTCATCATTATAAAAGGCTATGGTTCATCATTTCATCTTTTGTGTTTTTGCTCAACAGATATACCCACCTATTAATGTACTCCCGTCACTTTCCCGATTAATGAAGGTAAGCTTTTATGGTGGCACTCTATCTCCATTTTTATGCATGAAGGATGCCTACTTGCTGTTGATATATGTATATAAATATATATGCTGAGGGGTTTATAATCACCAAGATATTGCTTCATTAATTAGTGGGGTGAGTCTGAATGTCAGGTCTTGGGTCAGGCAGGCTCTTGCAATGATGTTACAAAACAAAAGTTCTGGAGGTATATTTTGAGCGTACTGTCTATGTTGTTGTAGAGTGCTATTGGTGAGGGAATGACTCGAAGAGACCATGCTGATGTCTCCAACCAGGTGCGAGTTGAAGTTACTGTGTTACAAATTCTGTTTAATACTGTTCTGCTTCAAGGCCTCCTGAATCCTGATTAACCCTATTGATTTTCATTTTCAGCTATATGCAAATTATGCCATTGGAAAGGATGTTCAAGCAATGAAAGCTGTAGTTGGAGAAGAGGCACTTTCTTCTGAGGATCTGGTCTCTCTCTCTCTCTCTCTCTCTCTCGCCATATTTCTTAATTTATTGCTTATATCAGGAATTTATAACTGTTTATTTATTTATGTTTTTAAAATCTCTAATTTTTTTGGTTTTCCAAAAAAAATGTAGCTTTATTTGGAGTTCCTGGACAAATTTGAGAGGAAATTTGTGGCTCAAGGGGCCTATGATACCCGGAACATTTTCCAGTCACTTGATTTGGCATGGACACTGCTTCGTATCTTCCCCCGTGAGCTTCTCCACCGTATACCAGCAAAGACATTGGACCAGTACTACAGCCGCGATGCACCAAACTAAAATGGATAACGAGTTTATGGATCCTTCCCTTGAATTGTGGTTCGCTTCAAAGTGGCTGAGTTGTTGTTTCACCTCTAATAATTTTACTGGGCTGCATGAATTCTCAGAAAAAGGTGAAGTGGATTCTCATCTCAGTCTAAAACACAGCTGTTTATTTCATTAAAATAGTTATGAGGATTCTTATATGAGGCAGTTATGTAGTTTATGTTAAAGGCTTGTAATTTTGACTTGTTATATTTGGTATTGTCTATCCTTGTATTTGGATGTGAAAATTGAATGTTAGGAACACATGAGGTTTTAATAATAAAGTTTTACTGTTTATTTTTAGTTTAATTTCATGAAAGAGGCTAAACCAAAATAGGGGAAATTTTGTAGTTACGACATTTGTAATATTTAGTTATGATTTGATTATATACATTGTAGTGTTTGTTATGACTTAGGCCAAGTTTGGTAAGACTAAATAAGTGTATTTTTTGACTTTTTATTAAATATGAGTTGGATTTGGGTTGGGTTTGAAATGATGTGTTAGAGAGGTGATGTGACTTAAATAAGATGATGTGGCTTAGGCCAAGTTTGGGGACTTTAAAAAAAGCCAAAAAGTCAAAAAGTTACTCAAAAAGTTAAAAAGTTAACACTATTCACCAAAAGTCAACAATTACGGCTGCACAACTCCCAATTCAAATTTTTCCCTACAAATCAATTTTTACAATTTTTTATTACACATTTTTCAATAAAAAGTCAAAAAGTTAATCCAAATATTCATATTTTTAACCTCAATTTTTTAGTCTAAAAAGACAAAAAGTGTACTTTTTTAGTCTTCCTAAAGTTGGCCTTAAATAGGATAGTGATTTTTTGACTTTTTAAATTTTTTAGAGAATGTCAAACTTGGTTTTATTATGATGTTGATCATAATATTATTTTAGTTATATGTTTGATTATAATTTTATTTATTTATTTATTTTTTATAGTTATAATTAGAATTTAGTTATGATATTTATAATAGTTAATTTTACAAATGACATAACTTAGCAGGACCCCAAAATAGAAGTAATTTATACACAAGCGTAAAAAAATAACAAACTTAGCACACATTCAGTGCACCTTTTTTTATGCATGTAACTTTTTCTAATAGAAAAAAGGGGATGGGTTTGCCTCCAGTCCGGACTGGAGATTGTTATTTGGACACGTAAGGTCACGAATTTTATTTTAATAATTTAAATATTTTATTTTATAGGATTTTTTTATGGATATCGTTTATAAAAAAAAATTAGATTAATTTAGTAATTGTAAATTTTTTATTTTATTGTGTTTGTTTAAAAATAATAGATGATCTATTTTAAAAATGTACTTACCGTTTATTTTTTTAGAAATAAATAAAATAAAATAAAAAATTATAATTATCAGATCAATTTAATTTTTTTCATAGATGATATATGTTAAGGGCCCTATAAAATGAATAATTTAAATTATCAAAACGAAATCTATGGCGAACTCCACATTACAATCAAATTCTTTTAAATTTACATTTAAATTTAAAAAACCACATTACTTTTTTACACTTTTTTTTATATTTATTTTTATAAAAACATAAAAAATTCTTCCAAACATTTTAACTTTTTCATCTCATATTTTAATTGAAAAATTTAGAAATCATTTTTCAGACGGACAGTGTCTTTGGTCTGTTTGGAAAATCTAAGAATGATAGCCACAATAATTTTATAATTTTTTTTTCCCACTTCTTACATGGATCTATATAATCATGTGTACATGTAGAATTCACCATTAAAAAAAAAAAAATTAATGATATTTAAATAATACAAATAAAAAATAAAAAAATATAAAGAAAAAAATAGCCAAAAAATGAAACATCAAAGTGTTATTGGTTGGTTCTGCATAAGGGGCAAGACCGGTGCCTAACGCGCCATTTAGCAATGCAACGTCGATGAAACATGTGCAGACATATTGGCAACCTTTCAGCTACTTCTCCAACTTCAAAATCCTATCAAATAAAAGAAATACACAAGAATTTTTTTTAAAAAATAAAGTTACGTGTTTAAAGCTATTGTTAGAAGTCGTGCACGTTTTGGGATCTATGTATGAACTTATCCAAATAATAAACAATTTTGAATCATAAATTTGTATAAAAATTTAGAAATGAAAAAAGAAAAGGCAAAGATAATGTTAATAAAATATAAGTTAAATTTTTGGAGACTCAGGCCATAAATCAAATTTTAAAATTTTTGAGACAATAGTCCTAAGCTTATTTGTTTGGATAAGGGGTCACTGCTGTGCTTCACGCACAGCAGTGACTATGGTGCCTCCATTTGAGGTGTATTATGACTTTATTTTTATGATTCAAATCGTTCATTTTGTAGGGTTTGTTAAGGACTTCATGCCTACCAAAAATCATATTAATCGGATATCAAAAACTATATGATCGAATTGCATATTATTTATGTTATTTCTCAAAATAAAACTTATTATTTATTTTTTTGGTTGTCGATCATATAGTTGTTGATATCCGATTAATATGATTTTTGGTAAGCATGAAGTACTCAACAAACCCTACAAAATGGACGGTTTGGATCATAAAAATAAGACCATAATACACCTCAAATGGAGGCACTACAGTCACTTCTGTGCTTCACGCACAGCAGTGACCCCTCATCCTATTTGTTTGGTGCCAAAAAGATAAAATAACTTAAAAAAAAAATCATATTATCCTTATCTATTTTTCTATCTATCCATCTAATCTACATATTTGCCTATATCACTTCTACCACACTTTTCCAAACATTTTTTCAAGAGAAAAGTTAGAGATCATGAAATTTTTTTCATAAAAATAGTCATAAAGATTTATGATCCTTGGATTACCTTGATTAGTGTGTGGTGCTTTATTCTAAGTGTAATCCAAGGGTCACAAAACTTTTATGATTATTTTCATGAAAGATTTTTCATGATACCTAACATTGCTGTTTTTCCAATGCCGGTGATCAGTTGATGGTAGTAGTGTAAAAGTTAAAAAAAAATTCCTAAAAATAATAATTTGTCTTTCTCACCAAATAATTTCATCAATTATGTTATTATCACCACAAAAAAATAAAATAAAATTAAGATTAGTCATTGAATCTAAATACCATATTTCTTCAATAAAATGGGCTTATCACTAATAAATGTTGGTTTTTCTTTTTTTTCCTCTTGATTTTCTTGTTCTTTTTTCTTTTTCTCTTTTAAATTTTTATCTAAATTTATGATTCAAAGTGAAGAGGTCCACTCTATTTTGATTGAAAAAGTTCAAGCGTGGACTCAATTTATAGGGAGCCATTCCTATTATAATTTTTTATATGTTTGTGAAAATTTATCAAAAAAGTATCCAAAAAACACTAGTGGGCATATGAACTAGTGGACCTCCTTCACGGGTATCTATCATATATATAAGAATAAAATAAGAAAGTATAGTGGGATTTGCTGATATGTCATTATCACACCGTACTTTCTAGGTTATTTTTGGTAGTTTCAAAAAAATCAAAAATTTTAAAAAAGTAAAATACGCCAATCTTTCATAAGATTTTTTTTCAAAAAAAAATACAGCGAAGTTCATAATTTTAGTATATTTATATGCAATATTTTTTTTTATAATAATGTTTGAATAGACTAAATCTAATGCAAATAATATAAAAATATAAAAATAAATAGAGTAAAATCTAACAAAATAGAGAGGGGACGAGATTTATTTTCCCAATCCCGTTTTCTTAATTTCTTAAAAAATTAATAAAAGTAAAAACTCATATATATAAAAAATTTCATATTTTTATCTCTTATGAAATAAAAATGTAGTGGGATTGTTAATGTGTCATCATCAGGTCATTTTCGGGTTCCTAGACTTCCCCAAAACAAATAAAAAACTAAAGCAAGAATAGTAATTTGTCATGTTTCTTTCACCGATAAAAAAAACAAAACATAAAAGTGAGGACGGAATTTGCTTTTCCCAATCCAATTTCTCCAGCCTATTGTAATTATATTAGTTAAATAACTTTTGAATGTATATATATCAATATATAGTTTAATTTATTTAATATAATAATTAAAAGCAAAATATCAAACTTTTATGTATCTCTCATTTTTCACATCTATATCTCTAATTTTTAATCTTTTCGACTCTCAATTATTTATTAATCTTTGTTCCTCATATATATGCGCGCGCACACACATATATATCTTTCTTTTTTTTTTCTTTTTTTCAATTCAATTTATATATATATATATATATATTTTGTTATAGAAAAATCCTCACATTCTCCCGCAGGTCCAAAAGAGCGCTCATGTCGTGATCACTAAGATGTTCTGTTGTTAGTTTCAAACGAAAAATTATAACCTAAAAACTTATACAGACCCTTCAACTCAAACTCCAATTAAATCAATTTCGTTAGTAACAATCTCCCTCCTAAAAATGAAAAATCACCCAATATTTTCTTGCTTGCGTCCCATCTCCACCTCGACAAGGAACATTTATGACAGAAACAGGACACACAAACTCGCTCAATCCCTCCCCATGTCATCATTTCAAAACTAATTAAAGTATCAAATTGAAGGTGAGATATATACCTCAAGGCAAACTGAGCAGGAGATTCTATTTCCTGAAGAGTCATAGATATTCTTGTCTGTGATTTTAGTCTTTGGGAGCTTATCAAGTATTGAACCTCTATGTAAAGCATTGCCTCCCTTTCTGTCTAAAAATCTTGGGACTTGATTGTTTGTTTCAACGGTGGCCACCTGATCATCATCATCATCATTAGCATCATCAGCATTCACATCCTAATTATTTATAAATTATGTAAATTATATCTGTAGTCTCTATATTTTATTTATTTTTTATCATTTTGTCACTATCATTTTAATTAGCTCAATTTTAGCCATTAATTTTAAATTTGTATCAATTTGGTCAAATTGATAACAATGATTAAGGTTTTATAAGAAAAATTGTTACTAACTAAACTCACAAAATTAAACAAATTTACAATTTTACTTATAAAAGCATGACACATGACGCTTATGTGCTAATTTTTTATAAAAAAAAACTCACTAAAAATTGTAATTGATTCGACTAAATTGAGATAAAATTATAAATTTAAAGTTCAAATCAAGATAATTGAAAATATAAAAATCAAAATGATACAAAGACTAAAATACAGAAATTACTAATATAATTTACCTAATAAATTTCAAGCATGGTTAATTTAAAACAATAATAAATTTCTATTCTTATTTAGTAGTTATTAGATATATAATGAAAATTCTCCATTAAACACATGAAATGGAGAGGTCACAATCGGTCCAGGGTTCGAATATATATATATATATATATTACTTTTCTTGACTTTTCAAAAACTATGTGATAGTGATTTTGGAAAAAATAAAGCTTTACCGGATTCCTTACTGGACCATGCATGCCTGGACCAAACTCTTCTCCCAGGTACACCAGTGTTGGTTTCAGAAGGCTTGTGATAACCTCAATCTACATCACATTTAAGTGTAAACATGAATTAGAAATCCATCCATAAATTTGAGTTCAAGCTATATGTTAAAACTCTTGTATTGCTTTACCGGATTCCTTACTGGACCATGCATGCCTGGACCAAACTCTTCTCCCAGGTACACCAGTGTTGGTTTCAGAAGGCTTGTGATAACCTCAATCTACATCACATTTAAGTGTAAACATGAATTAGAAATCCATCCATAAATTTGAGTTCAAGCTATATATAAATTATAATATAAACTATCTTTGTTATGGATTAATATATATATATATATCATGAATTTCTTACAATTTTTCTTTACATTCACAATCCACACTTAAATTCAAGATCCCAAATAAAGCTCAAGTACATGTATGGGGATGCCTGTACAGGTCCGGTATTGTTACAAGTAGATGAACAAAATCCTTTGTTTATAAGACTTTAAATGAGTCCACCTATTATTTTAACCAAGCTAAGGTTACTACACCGAGTCATGAACTAATTGTACACAAATTACAAATTAAAGATTAAAAATAAATAAATAAATACACGAAACTGCCATTAAAGCCGATTCTAAAAGAGAAAGATGAAGAGGGACTCACGAAGAGATGGAAAGAGGGAGGTTCATTGTCATGAAATGAAATCCAGAAAGCAAACGAAGCATTAACGACGTGAAGGAAAAAAGAAGCACCAGTGAATGCTCCAACAGCAGCCCCATGTACTAATCCAATTTTCCTCTCACTTTTCATCCCAAAAACTGCCCCTGTCATTGCTCCTACCGTCGTCCCAACTACAAAACAAACACAATTATATATATATATATATATGATCATCTTCATCTTCATCAAAAGAAAATTTATGAATGCAAACCCATTACTGTTAATGAAGTCTCAAGATGTCAGAGAGAGAAAGGGAGAGAGAGGGAAGAAAGGGGGGTTACATACCAACAGCAAAGAAGAAAGAGAAGAAAGCATAGAAGAGGTAGTGAAGAAGAGCAGAAAATACAGAGCTACAAAACTCTCTCTTCCTCCTCCTTTCTTCTTCTCCTCCAATACTAATCCACCTCCACCACCAAGGCCTCTGCAAAGTTGGGATTGTTGGGCATGACCACACCTCCATTATTATTACCTCACCACCAACAAATATGGGTATTTTTTAAAATGAACTAGTGTTATGTAATTTTGTGTATATGTATCTATATCTGTGGTGGTTATATGTTTATCTTCTGTTGTGGAACCAAAAGATATACTAGTAGTGGGGAAATGATGAAGAATCTTTTGCAGAGAAAATGAGATAAAAAGTAAATAAATAAATGCACGAAACTGTCATTAAAGCCGATTCTAAAAGAGAAAGATGAAGAGGGACTCACGAAGAGATGGAACGAGGGAGGTTCATCGTCATGAAATGAAATCCAGAAAGCAAACGAAGCATTAACGGCGTGAAGGAAAAAAGTAGCTCCAGTGATTGCTCCAACAGCAGCCCCATGTACTAATCCAATCTTCCTCTCACTTTTCATCCCAAACACTGCCCCTGTCATTGCTCCTATCGTCGTCCCAACTACAAAACAAACACAATTATATATATATATATACATGATCATCATCATCATCAAAAGAAAATTTATGAATGCAAACCCATTACTGTCAATGAAGTCTCAAGATGTCAGAGAGAGAGAGAGAGAGAGAGAGAGAGAGAGAGAGAGGGAAGAAAGGGGGGTTACATACCAATAGCAAAGAAGAAAGAGAAGAAAGCATAGAAGAGGTAACGAAGAAGAGCAGAAAATACAGAGCTACAAAACTCTCTCTTCCTCCTCCTTTCTTCTTCTCCTCCAATACTAATCCACCTCCACCACCAAGGCCTCTGCAAAGTTGGGATTGTTGGGCATGACCACACCTCCATTATTATTACCTCACCACCAACAAATATGGGTATTTTTTAAAATGAACTAGTGTTATGTAATTTTGTGTATATGTATCTATATCTGTGGTGGTTATATGTTTATCTTCTGTTGTGGAACCAAAAGATATACTAGTAGTGGGGAAATGATGAAGAATCTTTTGCAGAGAAAATGAGATAAAAAGTCACGAACCTACTACACAAACAACGTACAACTACGACTACTTTGTCTTCTCTTTTCTTGTTTTCTCTGCTGGAGTGGAGTCTATTTTGGTGGACGATGAAAAGGAAAGGATATACATAAACGTGTTTTTTTTCCAAGCCTGGGTCAACTCTTTTTTCACTGCAACAGTTACGCAAGTGGAGACCAAGACCAACTCATTCTTCATTCTATTTCTTTGAATTTTTTTTTTCTTTTTTCCAATTGGGGAACCTTCTTAGAATTTACTATAAGTTTCAATAATTTAAATTCTTCATTTTATAAAATTTTATATGTATATTATTTATAAAAATAATTTAGTCAATTTGATAATTGTAACATTTTTATTTTATTATGTTTCTCTTCGAAAAAATGAATATTTTTAAAAATAGACTATCTATTTTTTATAGACAAATACATAAAATAAAAATATTATAATTATCGAATCGATTTAATTTTTTACAGATGATATGCAAAATAAACAGTTTAAATTATCGAAACAAGACTTGTAGTGGACCCATAAACCCGAATAATTGTCACAAAATTAAATATGAACTTAGAAAAAAATTTAATCATGATTTTAAAGGGGTCAATATACTTCTCATATCTTGTTAACGTAGAAGTGTGCAATGAATAAACTTCTTGCTTTACTTTGACCAAAATTTTTGGTCCTACACATGGGAGACGTGAGAAGGTTGGATTTAAATCATTGTGAGATTAACTTTGAAAGACCAAATATCATTTTAGAGAAATGTAAGTTGTTTTGTGAACTACTTATTTTAATTGGCTTTTTAACTTTTTATAAATGAAAAAAAATGTAAAAAGATAAAGAGAAGAATTGACTTTTTGATAATGATTTTTTTAGTTCTTTAGCTAAAATAACCTATTGCCAAACTTACCTACCAGTTTTATAAAAAAGTATATGGACTTCTCTTTTTAATGTCATAAACTTTTCACTAACTTGATATATATATATATATACATTCTATAGTTCACCAAATTGATATTTCCTCAATTTGAAATTAGCAATACAGTGGGTGTTTGGAAAGTTACTATTTTAATAAGCTATTAGTTTTTGACTATTTTAATAGGCTAAAATTGTTGTGTTTGCAAAAATGATTGGATTTTTTTTATAATTGGATTTATTTTATTTTATTTTTGATAAGCAAATAGCAACTTTATTGAATAATAAGAGAAGTATAAAATACATCACAAGCATCAATAAAGCAGGTAAGAGCTGAAAGCATCATAGCTAAACTAGATGATCGCAACTAGGTTGATATCGAGAATAAAACCCAATCATATGTCAGCTCCAACCTAGGATGGTGAAGAACCAACCATGACAAACCAAACAAACCAACAAGGAAAGAAAAAATAGCAAAGCAACCAAACTCCCGAAAGTAAGTATTAAAGCATTCTCAAAGGCAGACCCTCACATAATCGAGATTGAATAATAAGTCAGTCACAGAGTAATGGATGTCTTTTACTGAGGCCTTGATCCATGATGCAAGCTTAAGCTTTATTAGCTCACTCAACTCAAAGCAATTAGGCTGCATTTCATTGTATATGCATTCATTCCTTTGCTTTCAAAGTGACCAAAGAACAATTAGAGGTAGAGCATCTCAGATCCTCCTTTCTAGTCTTTTAAACTTGCCACCCTTCTACCAATGGAAAAGATTATCAACCGAACTAGGTATCACCAATTAAAACCCCCACCACTACATCATTTCTGCCCAAATGCTCCAGGAAAATGGGCAAAATAGAAGCAAATGACTAGCTGATTCAGGTTATGTTCTGCAGAAAGTGCATAGTGTGGCAACATTGATACCAAGAATCCCAATTTTCTAAAGGAAAACAGCTGATTTGATTCTGTCTTTCCATGCCAACCAGTTGAAGAATTGAATTTTGGGAGGGATGTCTTTATTCCAAATGAATTTGCAGATTGAGAACAAATCAGCAACTTTGAAAATACCTAAATTTGAACCCAGCTAGACAGGGTCGTTGTAGACACCCCATTTTTGACCGTCCTCAAGACTTGGACGTCACCGCTTGGAACACTCGGTGATTATCCATGTTTGTGTTCGTTTGGAGTTCCCGGAAGTCTCGGCTCGCGCGCCCTACCTCAGGATCTCCGAACTTGACCGTTTAGTGTCTGGTTTCACACCGAACACTTATGTTTTGCCTTGGAGGGGCAGGGAATGCCTTGTGAGGCATCCCCACACACCACCGACAGTGGCTAGAGGCCACCGGCTGGTTTTTTTCTGCCATCGGCACTATTTGTTGCCGGTCGGCACATTTTATTGCCGGTCGGCATAGTTTGTTGCCGGTCGGCACTTTTTTTTGTCGAAATGACATTTTTGGGCAGCCGACCACTGTTCATCTACTTTATGGAGATATTTTGTGCCAGCTGTGATAGCTGGCACCAACTCTGCCTCCCTCCATACACGTGTATGGAGGGAGGCAGAGTTGGTGCCAGCTATCACAGCTGGCACAAAATATCTCCATAAAGTAGATGAACAGTGGTCGGCTGCCCAAAAATGTCATTTCGACAAAAAAAAGTGCCGACCGGCAACAAACTATGCCGACCGGCAATAAAATGTGCCGACCGGCAAACAAAAGCGCCGATGGCAGAAAAAAACCAGCCGGTGGCCTCTAGCCACTGCCGGTG